TAAGCTATCTGAAAAACTCCCTTCCAAACCAAGAACCTTCAAAATCGATTTTTATTAATATTCTGCAGATTTTTTATGGCACAAATTAGTAAATGCCTGCAATTCCTTGTGAATGGAACTCTTATTATTATTTTTTTCTACTCTGTTCTGTACTTTCTTTGTTTTGAATTCTGGTTACTAGCCAAGCCACAGTAAGACTTAGGGTATGATTCTTAGCTTTCTTCTGCAAGGGAGGTGAGCTATCATAGGTAAGGCAAGCAGTGGTGAGTATTTCAGAAGATTTTCAGGGCTCTGAGTGTGCCCAATGTTGCTCTTCTAATTTTCAGGATCCTAATTTTTCTTGATGATTGTCCTAATTTACCCACGAGATATAGTGAAGTTTTGAATTCAATCAACATTGTAATAAGGTAGCCCAATAATTAATGTCTGGGTTTGGTTTTCAGGAACCTTAGGCTCTAGCAATTATTGGAAAGGCTCTGAGTATTGTGTTATGTGTCGGGGGAAGAATTTTAAGATTTGAGAGTGCCTTTCTTTCACTTTATTAGCTACTGCCTTCAAGAACAAATCTCCTGCCCCCATACACCAGAGATTTGCACAGGACACAAAGTGTCAGAGATGAGCCATCTCATCACTGCCTGCGATGGACTGTCACCTTCACATCCTGGAATCTGCACATAAGTTTCACTGCTTTTTGTCTCATTGCAGCTTCCTCCACCAGCTTTTCCAAGTTATTAAGGACAGCCAATGGAGCACATTTTAGTGATTCCAGTGCTCCTGTCACATCAATCTAATTATCATGGCAAGAGAAAAGGGAGAGCTTCTGAACTCTGTTGTGATAGTAGTGAGAGGGTGAGTGGCAGGGATCCTTATTATAGATCCAATCCAACATGACTGTCCTCTGGAAATCTGGGAATTTCTTTCTTAACCTGAAGAAAAGGAATGATATTAAAAAATATATCAATTAATACGATCAGTCCTTTTAAAAACACCATGTTTCCCAGGGGCACTATTGCCTCCCATTAACTCTTTGGTATCAGTAGCTGGATTAGTCAGAGTTCCTTGGCTGCAAGCAATAGAAATCAGCTTTGGCTTACCTAAGCTGAACAGGGTATTTGCTGAAAGAATACCGAGTCAAAGCACTACTTGATTTCAGGAAGGACCAGAATTGGGGAAGCCCCACGTAACTCTGCAGATGTCTAAGTATTCCCATTGGATGACTCAGGTCCAGCAGTCTTCAATTCTTATGTCCCCACTCAAGATTCAGATTCTCCAGAGCATATGATAAGCCTAGCTTGGAGCATCCACTCTTGTGGCAGGGTAAAGGAGGGGAATGTCTCATGACTGGTACATTTCAGAATCACAAGACAAAGATGTTCTCTGAAGTGACTTGTGCAGTCTAGTTGACACATACATGTGAACATACATACACACCCACATGCATGCAGACACAACAGTGACCTTTTAATTTTTTATTATAAACGCAAAGATTATAACACTCATTGTGTACTTTCTGTTACATGGTCAATCCAAAGTAATTTTTGGAAAATATTTTACAAAAACAAAGGATTGAAATGTATTTTTACCTTATACTTCAGTTCTAAATCATCTGATTTACTCTTACCTCTTGGGCAATTGTACAAAGAGGGCAGCCAATCTCTGACTTGTCCAGATGCTAGAAGTTTAGCCAATAACTACTATATCTCCACTCACCTTGCCTGCTAGAATGTTACAGGCTGAGACTGACCAATGAGCTTAGCACAGTGGCATATTGAGCAGCCTCCTTCCAGTTCTATGAAAGGTAGCACTGACTTAAACAAAGGAACTGACAACAGGACAAGCCTGGCTAAGGGACTCTGTGAGGCTATGACCTGCTCAGCCCAGATACAGGGGTTCCTGAGTTCCCTTGCTTGGTTCAGCTCCTGGGTCTGTAAGGCTAGACCTGCAATGATTGTTCCGTGGATTTCAGAAAAGAAGGGGTTGCTGATTCTACCACATCCCCTGTCTAGCCCTTGAGACTACCCTGACAGTCTGAAAATGCCTCTAAAACTGGGCCCCACCTGTGCTTGATGCAGTTGGTATTCCTGTAATCACAGGGGGCTTCTTAGTAGACATAAATCTGTAATAATTTAAGCAGTGGAGGATCAGGATTGTTATATTTGCTTTTAGCAAATCTTTAATTTTAATTTTTCAGATCTTGTTGCAAATCTTTAGGGAGGAAAAGTGAACTTCCAGTATCTGGATGGGTAAAAGCAAGTCACGTTAAGATTGGGATCCAATTTTAACCAGCAGGAGTTAGGCAAGAAGGCTTCTGAGTAGAGACTGCTCTAGGTAGATGACATGAACGAATGAATGGAGTTCCCCTGTTTCACTCTCTGCTAATTCTGATAATTTCCCCTGAGCACATGGCGTTGAGCACAATCACAACTCATTAATTGTTTCTCAACTTATTGGTCTTATGCCAGTCTAACGTATTCTAGCTGGCAAGCCCATGGGAGTTGGGACTTTTCTACATTTACTTACCATTGTATCCCCAGCACTCACCTAGTGCCTGTCACTGGATTTAAATGTGCAGAATTGCTGCATTTTCTGAAACTGTTCTGCTCTGGCCTTCCTCATGAACCCCCTCATTCTCTTGGGTAATACCTTATCTAGGATATGAGGATACCTTAGATGTGCCAATTGAAAGATGTTGCTGGGCATGGGGGCTCATGCCTGTAATTTCAGCATTTTAGGAGGCTGAGGAGGGTGGATCACTTGAGGCCAGGAGTTCGAGATCAGCCTGGCCAACATGATGAAACCCCATCTCTACTAAAAATACAAAAATTAGCTGGGCGTGGTGGCACAGGCCTGTAGTCCCGCTACTTGGGAGGCTGAGGCACAAGAATCGCCTGAACCCGAGAGGGAGAGGCTGCAGTGAACTGAGATCACACCACTGCACTCCAGCCCGATCACAGCACTGCACTCCAGCCTGGGTGACAGAGTGAGACTCAGCCTCAAAAAAAAAAAAAAAAAAAGAAAAGAAAAGAAAAGATATTTCAGTTTCTTTTAAATAGTATAAGTAGACCATCAGAGCTGTTTATATAGTCTGTGTGTGTGTGTGCGTGCATGCATGTATGCTATCCTCTTTAGGTAAATGCTTAGTCTTCCTGAGCATTGTTTCTTTCCTGTGACCTCTAAAAGTAGGTCTGGGTGTGGAACCAGCTGCTTTAGCAGAAGGAGGAAATCACTGAATCCAGGAAGTGTCCTCCGGAGTGTCTTCAGTGGTGTCTCTTGAGTGCTGGCCACATCCTGCCCTTCTGGCATGAGTGGCTGACGCCAGGGGCTGGTGGAGCTCAGTTTGTGATCCACTGGTCCAGATCTTCTAGTTGTGTCAGGGCCTGGCATTGCCTCTGCTGCAGCCTCACCTGGGCTGTTGCCAGTGCTGTAGACCTTCTGAATCTCTGCCACGTGCCTCATCCAGACCTTGATCTAAGAGGTCTACTGCACAGCCTCTGAAGCAGGGTGGCTTCTCTCCTCCCCATGCTAACACCCTCTAGGGCTGCCTGTTCTCAACACAGCCTTCTTCACAGGGTCCCCTGTGTTATATAGGAATCTAGGGGTCCTGCCACCTGGGAACTAATAGAGAATTGGGAAAGTTAATCTCAGCCCTCCCTCTGTCTAATGAGGCTACACAATAGAACCACAGATTAGCAAACCTCCCTGTTGGTAAGGGGGAAACAGAGATAATTGCCTCTTTCATGCTCCAAACATGACTTGGACGAGCATCTGCCCCTTAATTCATCTACCACACTTCCAGCTAAAGCTTATAGAGAAGAACTGGGGCTCCCTGCCTTTTTCATTCTCTTCCCATAATTTCCCAGGCCTATAGCTTTGGGCTGTCTACTCTTATGGTCATATTTTCCTCCAACTTGACTGCAGCCTCATAGCTAAAATGGCACTCAGCATGCTGTAGAGAAAACCTCCCCATGCTACAGATGAGGAATTTTAAATTGGGAAAAGTAAAAAATTATGTATTTTGTAAATAGATAGTTCCCTTCAGGCTTTCACTAATATTACAGTTTAAACTTTATTTTGATATAGGATGCAAAATAGATGCTATGAGAGCATCTAATGTGGAAGTGAGTTACTGACCTAGTCAGGGTGGTCAGAGAAGGCTTCCAGGAGGAAGTGAAAAGCAAGCTAAGGACTATAGATTGTGCTAAAAAAAAAAAAAAAAAAAAAAAAAGGGAAGGGTATTCCCTTTGGAAGAAATAGCATGTCTAGGTGTCTTGTGGTCAAAAGGTGCCCATTACTATTCATTTTACCTTCAATGATGGTTGATTGTCAGTTTAACATATGAGAAGGATAAAATCTGACCATAGGCTGAGCTAAGGCTATTGTGGACAAATGGCTATGAAGACATTTTCTAATTGGAATCTCCTGAGTAGTTCCAGTCTAATGGAGAATAATTTGTTAAATTAGTAGAGCTTGGTATCTTTTTGTTAAATGATTCTCTGAAACTATTAACTTTTCTCTTCTGCAAACTAGAAAATAGAAAATTATTCTACTTCTTTTGAGGACAATAATGACTTCAAAGAGGTAATATTGCTTAAAGCAAAGAAATATTTTTAAATTCATAATAGGAATATAAACCTGACCGTAAAGATTTTTTTATAGTGCTAAAATTTTATTTTCCTCTTTAGAGACATTGACTCAGTTTGATCTTTACAGAATATGTATGAAACATAATGTAATAATCATTTAGATTAAAGAGGCTTGTGATTAAAACAAATGGATAAAATGTTTTATTATTGGGCATTTTGGTATTTATGCTAACTAAATATTAGTCTTGAATGTGTCTCCAAAGATCCTGACAAAATAACAGACCATCCCTTGTGAAAATTCAGGCCATCAGACAGTGTAAAAACATGAGCTCAGAGTTTCATCTGGAAATTGACCACCTTAATTCATTTTAGAATATGATACACATATGTGGAAGAAACAAAACAAAACCCGATGACTAATGACTCATTCTTTTGTTGTCTTTAGCTTTACCCTCACAATAGCTTTTTGAAAGTCTGTGACTTGTATGATATAGAATCTGATCCCATTAAGAAAGGCACAGAAAGATTACATAACATATGTTAATCACCATCGGAATATCAATATGATTAGACAACTGCACACTGACCTTTCTGAAGAGATAGAAGAAAGTTTGATATGTTGGCAATCCTCAGATGGTAATCATTTGTTATCTGCTCAATGTATAAATTTCCCAGCATACAGCTGATTAAGCAAGAGGAAGAAAAATATCCACCAATAATTTGACATATATTATATTCAATAATAAGTGTGGATACTTTGTATTTTGTGTATTTGCATAATTCTAGTGACGAATAGGGTAAACTTTTATTTTTGAGGCTATAATATTTGTGATGAAAATGAGCCTCCTTCATTTTCATATTCCTCATTCACTGGTGACATGTGATGAAATAATTAATCTTCAAAGTGGGTGAATTTATTGAGCTTTTGTTCAGGCTAAACCATAAGTTTATGACAAAGACAGTTTCTGAATTATGATCTATACATATATATGTATGTATATGTACATATACATACATATACTACATACATATATATATTTGGTTTGAAAATTCACTTCAGAAATTGGACGTGGGAAAAAAAAGAAATAGGACAAGATAATGTGTTAAAGGTGAAAATGATAAAACGCTAGGGTGCAGAGAATAATCTCACATGAGCTTTCTTCATACTTGGGAATAAAACATAACAACATGTTGTTCTTGCATAACTCTGGTCTAGCTAATGGTATGTCATCTGTATACGGTACTACATAAAGCTGTGTTTTCCCTAAACTCACACATAATACTTTATACTGATTTATAAAAAGAAAGCATGTTCCCATGAACTAAATGCAAGAATAAACACTGCAGTAGGTAGAAAAGCTCAGGGGCAGAATTCAAACAATGAAGCTCTTTTTGAGGAACTGTGGTCACAAGTCCTGCCACAGTACACAACTAGAGCTGCAAACAGTTGAGAAAACTGAGAATCTTTGGGGAAGACGGTATGCAGAGTAAAACTTGGGTATGGGAGGTAAACCAAGGATGTATGTGAGGGGCAACCGTAAAGTGATAGGCGAGATTTAACTCTTGTGCCAAAAGTAAGTGTGGTCCTCTCTGCCCTTAGCGTTGTATCCTAAGAAACCAATGCGCCAGGGCACAAAAGATTCTCTTGACCTCCTCCTTGGTTATCACTCATAGCACATTCTTTTGAATATTCTGGGTGTGAACATTTTTTCGATTTAAGGAGATAGATGATTTTAAGGAATTGCAAAATACCACTGGATGGTGAGTAATTTAGCTTATTTTTTTTATAGTATTGCTATTTTTTTTCTTTTTAGAGAAAGAAGGGGAAAGAGAAAGGAGCTTGTTATAAAATAATGAAGCATTATCTTGCATATCTCTGGTAAATTTATTATGAAATATTAGCTAGCTTATGTATATGTATGTTCCTATGTATAAAGCATGTCTATTCAAAAATTTATAATTACATAACATTAACAAGTTGTTCTTAAAACAAGAAATGTAGCTAATCTCTATTTGGACTACAGGTCTTTTGTGATTGGTTCATATGGAATATGTTCATAGTGCCCATGTCAAGTCTGGGGATGGATAAAAATAGGAAACCAAAATACATGGACAAAGCATAAATCTTGGTGTCAATATGCATAACAAATGAAAACTTTAATTGCATCAAAACATAAATATAGTTTAGATGTAAGGAGCTGGCACAAACTCAGCACTCAAAAATGTGTGATCTGTCAGAGGATAGAGCCGTCACAGAAGCTGCCACTTGGCCTGTTGCTTGTGGTTTAATGGTTGCCAAGAAAAATCACCTGGAAGAGATATGGTGTGTAGAATGCCTTCCAATTCCAAGGGTCACAACCCTGCAATCTGTTGGCCAGCAGTTGGCTAGGGCTGGTGTTGCTGAACATCAGACTACAGCCCAAACCTATAGAGCAGCTGCAGGACAAGAGGAAAAATGCATTTTCAGCCATAATGACCTACTTTTAGTAGATATTTTGGAGCTCATGCAAAAGGACATCTTCAAGTGGCTTCTGCCTCCTTGCAATAGGGAGATAGTAATGTCAGCCGTCCCTGGGGTCTGGTCCTAGTCCTGCTTGTTCCTGTCTGACTTTGGCTTTGAAAGTCAGTCTGCGAAGTGGAGACAATTCTTCCTTTGAAGGGTGGTACCTGGTAGGTTCTTGGGAACTGAATTAGGTTTCCCCTCCTGAGAGTGGGTCTCTGTAGACAGGCACATATGCTGTTCTGAAATCATCTGTTGCTATCTCTGTCTCTGTTGGAGGTGCTTTCAGTGATGTGTGACTGTGTCTTACTTATCTCAGTATCCCTGCCCAGCATGGGATCTTATGTAACATACATGGGCAGTCAGTCAATGTTAGGACTGGCTGAGTTTTAGGCTGGAAAACAGTGGAAATATACAAGCAAAGGCACAGTGTCTTGAATTTACACTTGGCCTGTAGCAGTTTTCAAATGAAAGGAGCCCCCTTTCATTTGAGAGCCTTTTGAATTGGGCCCTCTGTATAGTTTATAGTGGGCCTGAGGGTGATGGCCAGACTGTTGGGGAGTGCTCTTTAAGTACAGAGGGAAGACTTGGTAAAGACATAAAAGCATTGAGGAAAAGGAGCGAGACAGCCAAGTCCAAAAAATGATTCATGTGGTTTGGGCAGAATCTGAAATGAGAGTCCCTCGAGACTGACTAAATGTCTCTTCATAAAGAATGCAAATTTAGCTGGACTCAGTGGCTCATGCCTGTAACCCCAGCAGTTTAGTAGGCCGAGACGGGCAGATCACCTGGGGTCAGGAGTTGAAGACCAGCCTGGCTGACATGGCAAAACCCTGTCTCTACTAAAAATGCAAAAATTAGCCAGACGTGGAGTGGGGGTGCATGTAATCCCAGCTACTCGGGAGGCTGATGCAGAAGAATCGTTTGAACCCAGGAGATGGAGGTTGCAATGAGCTGAGACTGCACCACTGCACTCCAGCCTGTGCTACAGAGCAAGGCTCTGTCTCAAACAAAACAAAACAAAAAGAATGGAAGTTCAACTAAGAATTAAGTGCCAGGGACTGTGCTACAAGCCCTCTCATGAGTTGCTTCATTTTACCGTCCCCGTACCCCTGGGAGGTCTGTTTCCCCTGTCCCCAAAACTGCCACCATGGAGATGAAGTCCTTTGTCCAGAGGCTCTGTCCAGCTGCAGAGCCAGGTTATGAACCAGTAGGTGCCCCTTGTCGTTAAGGACACTTTTGTTGTGGGGGGGTGGCCAGGACCAGGCCCTTCCCTATGGCAGCTCTTCCCCAGGGCAGCTCTGGGAGCTGATGGTCTCCGCACAGGCACTGGCACCCCCTGCTGGTCTGTGCTCAGGAAATGGGATGCCAACCAGTCACCAGAAAACAAAGGCACAGAATGAAGCAAAGGAAGGAAACGAGCTATGAGAAGCTTCACCCCTGTCTACCCAGGAGTTCTGCCCATTGTGGCCAAGCTGAGGTGGGGTTGGGGGGGTGCTGGATTTGGCAACCAGATGGGTTCTGAGAGGCTTGCAGTGGGGCCAGCCCCACTGTTCATTCGTTGGATGGCCTTGGGTGGGTTATTTCACTGCCGTTACTTCTGATATCCATAGAAACAGGATGACATGGGGTCAGAGAGGTTAAATAATTCACCCACATGGCTGTTAGCTGGAATCCAGTGCTTAAAAGTTTACTTTAGTGGCTCACGTTTGTAATTCCAGCACTATGGGGGTCTGAGGCAGGCAGATCAGCTGAGGTCAGGAGTTCGAGACTAGCCTGGCTAACAGGGTGAAACCCCATTTCTACTAAAAATACAAAAACATTATCTAGGCATGGTGGCTCATGCTATTGGAGAGGCTGAGACAGGAAGATTGCTTGAACCCAGAAGGCAGAGGTTGCAGTAAGCCAAGACTGCACCATTGCACTCCAGCTTGGGCAACAAGAGCAAACTGTCTCAAAAACAAAAAGAAACCACAAACATTCACTTTATTCGCCTTTCTGTGGCCAAGCACCTGCTGGGTTCCAGGCTCTGGGTATACATGAGGTGAAAGAGACACATGGTTGCTCCCTGTGCGGCGTGGTGACTTCTCGGACCTCCGATTCCTCCTTATTGTTCCTGTTTAAACCCGAGAAAATCCCATGCTTTTAAGAACTTGTGTGGTTAGATTGGGCTCACCTGGGTTTCCAGGCCAATCTCCCCATCTCAAACCACTTGCTAATCCCACCTGCAAAGACCCTTTTGCTATATCCAGAGGTTCTGGGGATTAGGGCATGGACATCGTTGTGTGAGAAGGGACGTTCTACCTACCTAGTCAGCCCTCTAGACCCCAAAGATGTGTGTTATCCCAAATACAAAATACATTCACCCTGCCCCAAGGCCTCATCTCATTATAACATCAACTTGAGATTCCAAAATCTGCTCTAAATCTCATCACCTAAATCAACTCAATCTGGCATGGGAGAGGCTCAGGAGATGATCCATCCTGAGCAGTTCCTCTCCCTCTGTGAACCTGAAACTCACTAAACCAGTTACCTGGTCCTAAGGTGTAGTGAGCGGCCACCCAGAGGGGTACAATCTAGTTCTGTCCCTGATCCAAGGGACCTGAGATGTGACATGGGCAAGAAAAATAAGGAAGAAACAACGAGGCTGTACACCCAGAAATACCAGACCACTAAGCCTCCTGGTCACACAGGACAGGAAAGCAGTTTCTCCAAAGGGTCGGTCAGCACCTAATTCCACATCCTGTGAGCTTGGGAGATGGCCGAGCTAGACACTTTCCTTCCGCAGGTACTGCTCATTTTAGAAAGTGAGTCAGGCCAGGCGCGGTGGCTCACACCTGTCATCCCAGCACTTTGGGTGGCCGAGGCGGGAGATCTCCTGAAGCCAGGAGTTCGTGTTCAGCCTGCCCAACATGGCAAAACCCTGTCTCTACTAAAAATACAAAAATTAGCCGGGCATGGTGGTACACGCCTGTGGTCCCAGCTACTCATGAGGCTCAAGCAGGAGAATCGCTTGAACCCAGGAGGTGGAGCTTGCAGTAAGCCGAGATTGTGACCCTGCATTCCAGCTTCGGCCACAGAGTGAGACTGT